GGGCCGGCTGCGGCGCCGCCAGCTCCCGCTCCGCCCTCGGAGCCGCCCTGACTGAACGGCGCGGGGGGAGGGCAGCGGACGGCCGCCAGCCGCGGCCTGAGGGGAAAACCCGCCCTTCTCTAGCCCCTCCGCTGCGGTCAGCGCCGCGCTGAGCTCGACGCGGCCTGTAGTACACTCAGCTGCTAGGTGCTTGTCGGCCTCGAAAGCCATCCTTTTCGTATTGCCTTTATTCCTTAAACTTTATGTATTTGTAGCGTTTTGGCATATGCGGGGCTTGGGTGTGGGGCGGCCGTTGTGGCAATGCAGCGTGCCCTGTTTGTGTAGGGTCACCGCGGTTTATTGGGTAGTCCTCAGGCTGGGCCAGCCAGTGAAGGCAGAATGTTCCGGGCTTTGGTGGAGTGGGACAAAATGGCAGTGGGCTCAGCTCTGCTCGTCATCACTCGACTGGCTTTTGTACTGATACCCAGGATCTGTTTCCTGCGGTGTCAGGCTGAAGCCATAGATTGTTAATCCAAATAGTCAAGTAGATTGGGAGTGCATCTCTGATCTAATTTCTCTTTCAGGAGAGAATCTGTTGAAGTGATGCAGTTTGTCTTTTTTGGCAGGAATGTCGCTGGGTGACTTGAAATAAAGCACTTGTTAGAGCGGAGCCATCACTGGTAGTTTTTGAAATGGATAGACGCACTAATCAGGCTGCAGCCTTTTCAAAAACAGACATAATAGAGAAATGATGACAGACTCTTCATAGTTCTCCAACAGTAGATAAAAGGATCAGAAAGTAACTGCTGATTAAATTTTTCAAAATCGATATGAGAATAATTGTACAAGGAAATAAAAAATTCTGTTTGGTAACAGGTGTTTATGAGAGAGATCAGGTACAGAGCGCTCTTTTTCATAAAACCAATTTATTATTGGTAAAAAATGAATCTAAGTTCACGTTCCTTTTCTCTAACTGCGTTTCTGCAGCACTGAATGTCTTGTGGACTGTTTCATCCTTGGACTCCCTCTTCAGACTAACGAGGAGGTGTCAGTATTGACTGCAGTGCTGTATTAAAAGTTATGCCTGTGAATTATTGTGTTGGGCACATAGACCACCAAAAATGTATTAAGTAACAGTTGACCTGAGTTTCTACATGTCTTGAACAGATGTGAACCAGGAAAATGGCATTCAGATATCAGAGTTCATAGGTTCGCATTTGAAATAGATTGGTAGATTTAACCTAAGAAGCGGCAGGTACAGCCAGACAGCCACCTCCAACTGTGTTACAGGCTGAAGATGATTCCCTTAGAGTGCAGCCAGAGATCTGGGAGGCTCAGTCCAGCTTACAGCTTTCCTATGTTAACTCAGGTAATTTGTGTTTCTGTGAGTCCGTATCTGTAGTGAGGTACTGTCTTTTACCATATGTAATAACTAATTTTATAACATTAAAAGAGCGTTAATGGGTTTCCTTTTTGTGTAGGAGTGAGGATAAAAATCTTAGAAGTGTAAAGTATTTGGTTACTAATGGGAACTATATAAGTTTCTACAATAGATAGCCCAGCTGAAAAATAAAAATAATAAAAACCAATAATCATACTAGAGTGCTAGTATTTCTTTTATGTGATAGGCAGACTAAAATGAGAATGAAATTCAGGAAGAAAGAAATGACAATGGAAAAGCCAATCACTGTCATGCAGGCTAACATTTTCCTGTTAACATTTGTTACAGCTACTGCAGTACCCAAGAAATACCAGGACAGGTACAAACAGTGTTCTGCCTTTCATTTTTCTTGCCATTTAGAAGCTGCTTCCCAGTATGATGAAATGAGATTCCAGGAAACAGGTCCTCCTTTCCCTCTTTGGTGGGAAAGGCAGTCTCCCAAAAGTTCCAGGCGGAACAAGGTAAGCTGAACAGAAGCAAGGGGTGAATTTGAATCTGAAGATTTTAGGCCTGCTGTGGAAAGAAAGATGGTGATGGCAGCAGACACAGAGCAAAGAATAGTAAAAGGAAGCGTATATAAATAAAGCAAAAGTGTAGATGGAAAGAGGGAATCGGCCATGTAAGTGGTTGAAAATGAGATGACAGAGGAGGGGTAGAAATTTGATTTCACAACTGCTGATGCTAATTGAAGAAGACAAACCAAAAAGTATTTCATTTTGGGTTTTTTACGTGCTGGCCTTAATGACTGCTGTGAATTACAAGACACAGCACTGATTATCGCCACTTGGCGGCAGCAAACAATATAAAAAACTTGCTTAAAAAAAATCTGAGGGGCAGTGAAAGCTATCGGATTGAGCTAATGTCTGCAGGCCTCTGTACATATTTCTAGGTGTATCTGTGTTAATGATTGTTTATGCCACAGGGTTTCTTCTTTTGTTCCTGTGGTGTTTGTGTTAGTGTTTTATATGTCTTATGACCCCTTGGATACTACTTTGACAATCCTCTGCTCCTAAATCATGCATTGTACCAACAGATTTATTTTGTTAGATGTGACTTCTCCTGAAACAGCAATCAGAAGTGTAGTCTGTTTTTCATGCTGAAGGTGTTGCTGTGTGGTACTGTTAGTACTGTGAGTCATGCATTATAACATTTGCAAAAGGTTTATTATGGGTGAGCATAAAAATGGTTATTGTGCAGTAAGGGCCACAAATGAAAGAATATAATAAAAAAAAAAAAGAAAATTATTACTGCAGCTGCCGATTGTAAAAAGCAAAAGGGAAAAACCTTGCTTCTGTAGCAACTATAGCTTGTAGGTGGCTTTTTATTTTGTGGATTTAATTGAAAACTTGATGCTGTAAGTTTGTTTTTTTTTTTTTTTTATTGTTATCTGTTTAATGCGTACCCATTCTCACCTATGAGGGCAGGTTTGTCAGTGAATGTTTTCATTCTTGCTCTATCTGCTTCTGTAACTATGTGTATATTTGAAGCTAGCATTCTAGAAATCTTTGTCCGTTGTGTGTAACTCAGTATTTTTCATCTGCATCTTTCCAGAATTAATAATGTACTTACAGCATGAAGGTGAAGTGTAGAATAGGACCTGTTCTTGGTTCTGCCACGTCGTACAAGATTGTATCTACTGTTTTGTCCACTGACATGGAAATCCTATTACTTCTTAATTGACTTTGGGTCTTGCATAATTTAATAATTAGAATGTTTTGTGATCTTAGAAAAAAGTTCTCATAGAAATGCAAAGAGTAGTCTTTATCATCATCAGCCTTGACTCGATTTGAGCCAGTGGTCAAGGGATTAGAGCTTTTGGAAGCTAGAATGCTTCTACAGATTATATTTAGGGATTTCCTTATAAATGGAGTGTCAGCATGTGTAGTTATCTATTCCCTGTAGAGTCTCATCAAGCTGCACATGCTTAATCTTTACTTACATGGTCCCGTATTCTTGCTGTAATGTGGGCCTCAGTTTTAACTTTTGCTCTCAGGAAGAAGGGGCTATTATAACAAATTCTAATCCTTTCGCAATTCCACAATCACTAAAGCCTATAAATCGCCTGCCAAACAAACCAAGTGATCTTTTCCTGGGCTGAGGGAAAGAGGAGAGTGTAAAACGCAGGTGCCAGCATTTGCTGGGGAAGAACTGGTACATTATCAACTAATCCGCCTTCTGCTATTTCTGATTTCCTACCCAACAGCTGCAACATTGAATGAGAGCTTCTGCATTTGGGAAGAATTAGAAAGCCTGATAATGCAGGGTCTCTATTACAGATACAACAACTCACAGACAGGGAGGAGATTTTTGCTGCCGGTGTAGAATTTGGAGTGCTAGGCATTTTATAGCCTGGAAAAATTGTAATTTTCAGCTGTTGTTATGGAGTAATCAATGAAGAAGAGATGCCATAGTTTCTGCTAGGTTTCTCTCAGAGCCTGATATAATTGCATGCATGAGCTATTATTTTTTCGAATGTACCGCTTTGAGGCTAAAGCATATGCAGTTTTTATTAAAACTTTTTTTTGATGGTGACTGATGCTCACAGACAGTTTTAGTCCTTCTGAAATATCTTTGATTCTGTAGCAATAGCTCCTGTATCAGATAAAAACATTCAGAATAAATTGTGCCTTGCTAGAAAATTGAAACATTATTATGTTTTAATTATTTTATCTAATCAGTGCTTGGTTTAGGAGTATACGTTGATAATTTTTTGTCCTTGTCAAATAGTCTGTGACTTCAGTCAAGGATCAGCGTGTCCATTCTGCTAAATGACATAAAGGAAAATGTCTCCAAAGATACCACAGGAGACAGATGTGTAGTAGAGCATCAGTGAAAGCTTCTGTAGCAAATGGACTTACGGCGTATCTCCTACAGCCCAGTGGCAGCAAATGTAGCACTGGAAAGAGTAACTCAATCATATTGGCTCACTCAGTATAGTGCTAATCACTGTCTGTAGTGAAATGGGAAAGTGACTATTTTCATCAACATGATGCATTACAATTCAAGCCACAAAATTATGAAAGCTGTGTAAGACTTCCTTTAGCATAGTCAGGAGAATATAGATGACATGCAGTTTCAGTTTGAGAAGTGCAGGCTCATTGCTGTTCCCAGAGAAAGTCAGCTGAGTGGAGACAGTTTTGTAGGCTCTCCCTAATTTTAGTTGTAGGTGACATAGTCTTTTCAATGAAAAGTCATTGCCTTTGAAACCTGCTTCCTCTGGTAGCTTACCAGAGCCTGAATTTGTTAATGTGCAGAGTCCAGTGCACAACTCACCTTTTAAATTCAGCCTTCCCTTTTCAAGTATAAGGACAGATCAGTACCTGTGTGGCTGTATATAGAAAATCAAGCCTTGTGACATTTATATGCCAAGATGGGAAGACCTAAAAAGAGGACTAGGGAGACTGGCATGGCATTTGTGGGTACCAGGTTGCCAAGGAGGCATATTGTATTGAAACAGTTGCCTGGGAAACATTTAAAAATACATTGAATGGAAAAGCATATGTGATGTGCCCACAAGTGTTCTGTGTGAATGAAATGCCATGGCTGATGATGGCACCAAGAGACTGTTACTATTATATGTAAAGATGCTGCAAGTGATTTTTTTTTTCTTTTGTGTTTTTTTTTTTTTCCTTCCCATACCCTATTTGTAGGAGGTGCGCCAAAGGAATATTGTATTGCTCTTGGCTGATGGATTAAAGTAAATGTAGAGAAAGCGGTACATGCAGTCAGCAGCAGCAGCAGCTGGGGATGGTAAGAGTAATTTAGCTTCATTTAGGCAATCTAAACCAAA